CGGCGGGGCGCCTCCCCCCCCGCCCGGTGCTCGGGAAGCGCGGGGCCCGATCGGCGGAAGCATCTGGTTTCCTCCGCGTCCGGCGGTGCTGGGAGGGCGGCGTGGGAGCAGACCTGGCCGGCCCTCCCACGGCTGACAGGGCCGGTCCCTTCCCACGGCCACCGCCATTCCCCCAGGAGCGGCCCCGGGGACTGGGGGATCCCCCCCCTACCTGGGACAGGGGGAGCACGGATCTGCCTAAGGCTGTGCCGGCACCGCTGCTGGGCGGCAGCTGGGAACACAGGACCCCCGTGGCACCGGCGAGGCAGAGAGCTCCCCCCAGACTCCGCCGCAGCCTGGCAAGCGAGTGGCACCGCTCTCAGCCACACTGACACACACCTGGGCCACAAGCCGGCGAAGGAACCAAACCCAGCTACAAAGAAATGGCTTTATTGGGGAACTGGGAGCCCCAGGCCAGGTTGGGGGTGCAGGGGGATTGCCCTGGGAGGGGTGGTGGGATATCAATTCCTCTTCCTGCCTTTGCCGACAGCCTTGGCAGGAGCAGCGACGGGCGCTGCAGACTGGTAGAGGGTGGAGGAGATCTTGTTGATGTAGTAGAGGCCAACCATGGAGAAAATGAGGCTGTGGGGAGAAGAGAAGAGGCTGCTCAAGCTGTCAGCAGACAGGAATGCTCCCGGACAGAACTGACACCTTCCTGTTTGACCCCCCCACTCCGTGGTGCCTGATGCTGCCACCCCAGGGGTCCCCAGCAACAGCCACAGTGGCACGATGGTGCTGCCCACCCTCTGGGGGCAGGCTCCGGACTTACCAGGTGGTGACACAGACTCGGTGGATGAGGCCAGAGGCAAAGAGAGCCAGCAAGAGGCAGGTGAGGACTGTGGAGGAAAAACAGGAGAGGTAAAAGATAGAGCTGTGCTGCCCCAAGACATCAGTCTCAGAAGAGGAGGGGCTGAGGCCACAGTGGTGCAGCAGGATGGGGGGGAACTGCCAGGCTGGACTCTTCCCCTGGGGCAGGGCTGGGTCCCTTTGGCCCCACGGGCAGAGCAACAGCAGGGACAGGGTCACCAACAGCAGGGACAGGGTCACCAACAGCAGGGACAGGGTCATGCTGTGGGGCCCTTGCAAACCCAGCACGGCCAGTGCGTTCCCCCTCCTCCCACCCCCCGGCAGCACTTACTCTCGGGGAAGATCTTGGCCTGGAATCCTTTGCCAAAGACGAGGTTCTCCAGGTTGTTGAAGGCCTGGCTGGAGAGTTAAGGGACACAACAGGCCCCTGGCCTTGGTCTCCGCAGCCCCCCCACCCCCGGGACCTGCCACACCCCCCCGGTCCCGGTGCCCGCTGCCAGAAAGGATACGGTGAGGGAGCAGAGGAACAGTGCGGAGCCCAGCAGCCCACCCTGGATGGTCAGCCACTCGGTGGACGCCAGCTGCCGGCTGTACATCTGCATCCCGGCGAAGAGCAGCAGCGAGAGCAGCGAGGAGAGCGCCAGGGAGGTGCCCGTGCCTACGGCTGGAGCCGGGGACCCGGGCCCGCCTCAGCACGACCACCGGCACCGCGGGGCCGAGGTCGCCCCCCGGGGCCAGGCCTTCCCGCAGGCCTCGGGCCCTGGGCCACCCCTCAGCTCCCCATTCCCCGGCGGGGTCCCGTCCAGCCCCTCACGCGCCCCGGCCTCCCCAAGGTCCCGTCCCGTCCCTCATCCCCCCGGGCCCCGTCCCCCCG